TTGCAAAAATGTGAAACAGACATTCCTTCCATTATCTGCTTTGTTTTGAAAGTAGTTATTTTCATTTTGAAAATCATGTATGCCACAGAACTGTACATTTAAAAGAGTCAAAATGGTAAATGGGATATTACTATTTTTTGTCAAAATAAAAAGAATTGCATTAATATGTAATGGATTTACTATTATTTTTAGATGAGTATCTTAAACTTTGTTACTTTCAGCACAGTAAATAAACAAAAGCTCTCTGGGGTCCTCAACACTTTTAAAAAGTGGAAAGGTATCCCCAGAGCAAAACCTTGAGAACCGCTAAACTAGCTGATTCCCCACCCACTCCACGGTAAGAATTCCCCTCCTGTGAATCTGAAAAACAAATTATCTCCCGAACTCTACTTGAAACTGTCCATGGACAAAAAACTCACAGCACAGGTGGGCAGACACTGAGGGAGAGGACAGGTCACGCTCCAGCCAGCTCTGCCTCTCAGAAAGGCCCTCCCCTCAGCCCACTCCCACCCGCTCATAACATCCACTCTTGTTCCTGCTGCCAAAGGCAAAGGCGCCCCCGCCTCACATTTCCCTCAGAAAGCTGAAGGGAATAAGGCCCCATGGTGTGTGCGCCCGGCCCACAGGCTGCGGGAGTGCTCGAGCGGGAGGCAGCCTGAGCGAAGGCTGGACCCTGGAGAAGGGGAGAGAGGGTCAGCAAAGGGCAGGACAGCTGAGAGGAGGGCAAAAAGAAAGCTGGGAATGCGTGCCAATGAGTCTTGGGGGCGGGGGGGCGGGGGGCGAGAGCCCTGGATTTAGTGCGGAGAGCGTAGGCCCACACGAGGCGCTGAGCCAAGGTCAGGGCCTCGTTACGAAAGAGGCTGCTGGGCGGCCCGCGGGGCAGGGTGAGGGGCGGGCCTGTGTAGGAGCCAGATTTAACCATACGGGGGCCCGGCTTAGTTTCCCTAGAGGTGCGTCAGGTTCAAGCGAGCTGTTCCGTTGAGGGGAGGGCCTTGTTGGTGAGGTTAGGGCTGGGACCCAGTTCGCACCGACACGCCAGGCTCCGGCAGCAGCTCCAGCGCGCAGGCCAGACAGCAGCGTGGGGACACGGGCAGTAGCCAGCGCGAGTCGTGCCGGTAATGGGCCTTCTCGAAGAGCAGCGCCGCCTCTTCGTCCCTCCCGGGCCCGGAAAGGCCGGCCGCCGCCTCCCTCATAGCCATCCCTCGACTGGCGTTCTACGGCGACAGCACTTTTCCCGCCAAGTTTATGCGCAAGCGCACTTGGCAGAGCTCGGCGCAGGCGCACGAGGAGGAGGGTAATGCGCCTGCGTAAACCGAGTACCTGGCAGTTCAGGCGAGCAGCGGCACCTAAAGGCAAGTGAAGGGCCTCAGGACTCACTTTGTACGTCTAAGCTCAAAGCTGTTTGCTCTCATCAGTTCAGTTCAGTTCAGTCACTCAGTCGTGTCTGACTCTCTGCGACCTCATGGACTTCAACACTCCAGGCCTCCCTGTCCATCACCAACTCCCAGAGTTTACTCAAACTCATGTCCATCGAGTCGGTGATGATGCCATCCAACCATCTCATCCTCTGTCGTCCCCTTCTCCTCCTGCCTTCAATCTTTCCCAGCATCAGGATCTTTTCAGATGAGTCAGTTCTTCACATTAGGTGGCCAAAGTATTGGAGTTTCAGCTTCAAGATCAGTCCTTCCAATGAATATTCAGGACTGATCTCCTTTAGGATGGACTGGTTGGATCTCCTTGCAGTCCAAGGCACTCTCAAGAGTCTTCTCCAACACCACAGTTCAAAAGCATCAATTCTTCGACACTCAGCTTTCTTTATAGTCCAACTCTCATATCCATACATGACTACTGGAAAAACCATAGCTTTGACTAGATGGACCTTTGTTGGCAAAGTAATAGAGGAAAACAGTAGAATGGGAAAGTCTAGAGATCTCTTCAAGAAAATTAGAGATACCAAGGGAACATTTCATGCAAAGATGGGCACAATAAAGGACAGAAATTGTATGGATCTAACAGAAGCAGAAGATATTAAAAAGAGGTGGCAAGAATACACAGATCTATACAAAAAAGATCTTCATGAGCCAGATAATCATAATGGTGTGATCACCAACCTAGAGCCAGACATCCTGGAATGCAAAGTCAAGTGGGCCTTAGGAAGCATCACTATGAACAAAGCTGGTGGAGGTGATGGAATTCCAGTTGAGCTATTTCAAATCCTAAAAGATGATGTTTACTCTTGTAACTTGTGGCTTCACCACGCCGAAGGTTGAAAAGCATTTATAAAGGCGCTGTTATTAGCCTTGAAAAAGGAAGGAAAGGAAACAATCTATTTGTGCTATTAAAAACTTAAATGATCTTGATGATTTTTATCGAAAAACTGTCAGCACTATTATTTTAAATTTACATGATACCTTTCTCTCAAACAATCTAAGGTGATATCTTTCTCTCAGAGATTCTAAGGTGATCCCCTTAAAATATCCTCACAGGAAAAAAAAAATATCCTCACAGAAAGCTGCACAGTACCTGCAGTTCTGTGAGCCCAGAAGGAATCCTGAAGAAGAAAAATTGGTTTACTAAATATATTAGCCAAATCGGTCAATTTCATTAGCACCAAAATGCCCAGCAAGCTGTTAGCATTGAAGGACATAAGTGATACTTTGAGTCAAAGTCATCTTGCTAAACTGTGCCTGGATTCCTGATTCACAGAAACTGAGTTAACAAATGCTCCTGTGGACTTTCCTGGTGGTCCAGTGGTTAAGACTCTGGACTTCAATGCAGGGGCGTGGGTTTGATCCCTGTTTGGAGAACTAAGATCCTGTGTGCTGCATGGTGTGGCCAAAAAAAATGTTTAATGTCACCTTATGCTGCTAAATATTGGGGTATATGAGTTTTCTATGGCTACTATAACAAATTGCCACAAACTTGGTGGCTTGAAACAACAGAAATTTATTCTCTCAATTCTGGAGGCCATAAGTCAGCAGGACTACACTGCGTGCTCAGTCCTGTCTGACTCTTTGCGACCCTATGGGCCATAGGCCGCCAGGCTCTTCTGTCCATAGGATTCTCCAGGCAAGAATACTGGAGTGGGGTGCCATTTCCTCCTCCAGGGGATCTTCCTGATCCAGGGATTGAACGCACATCTCTTATATCTCCTGCATTGCAGGTGGGATCTTTACCACTAGCACCACCTGGCAAGTCCTAGGCACTAGCAGGCAAACAGTTCCTTGTTTTTTCCAGCTTCTAATGACTTGAGAACCAGTGTTTGAGAACTGAAGAGGTATAAATGTTTTCTCCATGAAATCTATACATGGACAGCAGAATCCCAGAAGGGCAGCTACTCGGTGATCAAGCTCTCTTCCCTCAGGTCCTTCAAAAGGACCTGAATAATAGTCCAGTGCAAAGTACCACCCCTTCCTCAAGCAGCAAAGGCTGTTTGAGCATCCTACCTCAATCAGAATTAACTTATAATAGGACAGGACATGACTATGCCAAAGCCTTTGACTGTCTGGATCACCACAAACTGTGGAAAATTCTTAAAGAGATGGGAATACCAGATCACCTGACCTGCCTCTTGAGAAACCTGAATGCAGGTTAGGAAGCAACATTTAGAACTGGACATGGAACAACAGACTGGTTCCAAATAGGGAAAGAAGTACATCAAGGCTGTATATTGCCACCCTGCTTATTTAACCTATATGCAGAGTACATCATGAGAAACACTGGGCTGGATGAAGCACAAGCTGGAATCAAGATTGCCAGGAGGGAGAAATACCAATAACCTCAGATATGCAGATGACACCACCCTTGTGGCAGAAAGCGAAGAACTAAAAGAGCCTCTTGATGAAAGTGAAAGAAGAGAGTGAAAAAGTTGACTTAAAGCTCAACATTCAGAAAACTAAGATCATGGCATCTGGTCCCATCACTTCATGGCAAATAGATGGGGAAATAGTGGAACAGTGAGAGACTTTATTTTTGGGGGCTCCAAAATCACTGCAGATGGTGACTGCAGCCATGAAATTAAAAGATGCTTACTCCTTGGAAGAAAAGCTATGACCAACCTAGGTGGCATATAAAAAGCAGAGACATTACTTTGCCAACAAAGGTCCGTCTAGTCAAGGCTATGGTTTTTCCACAGGTCATGTATGGATGTGAGAATTGGACTATAAAGAAAGCTGAGTGCCAAAGAATTGATGCTTTTGAACTGTGGTGTTGGAGAAGACTCTTGAGAGTGCCTTAGACTGCACGGAGATCCAAACAGTCCATTCTAAAAGAGATCAGTCCTGGGTACTTATTGGAAGGACTGATGATGAAGCTGAAACTCCAATACTTTGGCCACCTGATGTGAAGAACTGACTCATTGGAAAAGATTCTGATGCTGGGAAAGATTGAAGGCAGGAGGAGAAGGGGACAAGAGAGGATGAGATGGTTGGATGGCATCACTGACTCAATGGACATGAGTTTGAGTAAACTCTGGGAGTTGGTGATGGACAGGGAAGCCTGGTGTGCTGCAGTCCATGGGGTCACAAAGAGTCAGACATGAATGAGCAACTAAATTGAACTAAACTGAGGACAGGGCAGGGCTTCCCAGGTGGTGCTAGAGGTAAAGAACCCTCCTGCCAATGCAGGAGACATAAGAGATGTGGGTTTGATATCTGGGTTGGGAAGATCCCCTGGAGAAGGAAATGGCAACCCACTCCAGTATTCTTGACTGGAGAATCCCATGGACAGAGGAGCCTGGTAGGCTACATTCCCCAGGGTTATGAAGAGTTGGACACTACTGAAGCAATTTAGCAGCAGTAGGACAGGACAGAACCATGATAGAAATTTCAGTAAACCCTCCTCTGAGGACCTGGAGAGGGCAGGTGTTTAGGAGGCGGCATTGGGCTGACCCACATTCCCCAAACCTTCTAAACCATAGAGTAGCTATCCCACCCATATGGTATCCCATCCCCAAAAGAGGCACTTATAAAACATGTATCAAAGAAAGCAGAACCCTCACAGGGATTAAATAACCAATTTTATTAGAGGTTATTTTATCATCCCCTTTAGGGGTTAGTAGGCCACTCTCATGCCTTCTCTGGATGTGTTTTGAAGACTCTGTGCCCTCAGCCTACTTCCTAAAGCCATGCTGGAGCAGAAAATCCCTCAAATATTTCATGAAACCAGACTTTCTGGGGGCTGGTGGATTCCATAGGGCCCCATGTGGGTTCTCAATTTCCTCCAGTTCTTCTGTCTTGAGAAGAGGAGCCCCAGCACCGCAGTGACCTGGTGGCTGAAGGTCCCTCTTCAGAGGAGTGTGAACTCTGATGTTGCCCTCCCTGGCATGTGGGTCACCCACTCTGGGGAGCAGGGTAGGACCAGGATCCCTCACACTCAGGTTGGGGGCTGAGTGCTGGGCCTTGGCCAAGTGTGGGGACCGGGAGCTCTTGTTCAAAAAGGTCATGCTCAGCCTTGCCGCAGCAGAGTGGAGACTCCTCTTGAAGCTGAAGGTGTCTGTGGAACAGGAGGAAGGCTGCTGCCCAGCCCCTCTGCGTTCCTCAGGTCCCAGGCTCCCTCTTCTCTGTGAGAGCTGCTGACCCTGGACTCTGAGGGGCTTCTGAGATGAGTGTTCCCTTCTCCAGTGGTCATAGCCTGCCCTGGGGTATGAGATCCTCACTCTGCGGGAAGCCCTCTCTGCCATCCGCGAGATCCCCAGCCTGACCATCTTCCTCCCCCTGCTGTTTTCACTGGAAGTTTCTTGGACCCTTTCTTGGCCACACCAGCTGCTAGATTCTGCAGCAGGCCTGCGGTTTCTGGAAGCCGTGAGCTCCACCCTGGGAGGAGCCGCTTTCTGGACATCCTGCGATTCTCTAGCGCCCCCTGGTGGCCTAACTCTCTTGGGCTTTACAGGAGGGATAGAACCACCTATTGGCTCCGACCCACACGGTCTAGGCTTCTCCAGGGCTCTGGCCTGTGTAGCAGGTTTTGAGCTTTTCCCTTCGGGGGGCCGAACCTTCTGGGACTTAAGGCCTGGCCTGGAGCCCTGGGCCTCACTTTCCTGCTGCCCCTGCAACTCACAGGCCATGTGCAACCCAGGGAGCCTCTGCCCAGCAAGAGGCAGTGGGCGTGGTCCTAAGACATTAAAGTGCAAGTAGGACTCTAGGATCCGCTGCGGGAGGCCCCACTTCAGGTGGGCGATCTTCCGCCGCATAAGGGACTCCAGGAGCTGTCGCTGACTCTTCTTGAGGACTGGCCACTTGGGCAGGACAGTGAGGGCAGTGGGACCACCCAATGGAGCTGTGGCGGCTGGCGGGGCGTGGCCACATGAGACAGAGGGGCAGGCAGAGGGCAAGCTCAGGGGAGCAGCCAAAGAGTGTGGGTTCCGGAGCTGTCCAGTCCGGTCATTGGTCTTCCCTGGATCCACTCTTCTGTCCCTCTGTCGGCTTCTCTGGGGTTTAGGTCTGGCTTGCCGGGAAGCTGGGACGACATCGACTCTGGGCTTCGCAGTAGTGGCCGTGCTCTGGCCAGCCAAATGCTCCCCCTCTCCACTGGCAAGCAGAAAGAGTTCGCTCTGGTCGGGGAGAGCCTTCATCTCAGGATGGGGAGCAGCAGTCATAGCCTGTTCCTGATCCATGGCCCCATAGTCAGAACCAGTGAGGGCTGGGGGCCCTTCACCCCCAAAACAGTCAACTCGGAGAGGGCATTCAGCAGCATCCTTTCCTCTGACCTGGCCTTTGTTTCCTTGCCTTGGCACTCGAAGACTTCCAGCATCCTCAGCTCTGCACTTTCTCTGGCTTCCTACATCCCCGATTTCTGCAGCATCCTCTTCACACTTGCTCTGGTTTCCTTGCCCTTGTATCTGGATCTCCTCATCGGTTTCACTTCTTAACTCTCCCTGATATTCTCCACCATGAGCCTGGGTCTCTTTACCATCATCACCTGTGATCCCTCTCAGGTTACTCTTCCCTTGTATTTGAATTTCTGCACCATTCTCACCTCCAGTCTGCTCCTGGTTTTTCCACTCTGGTGGGCATGAGTTTTCATTAACCTTGCTTTTTAACAGTGTCTGCTTCCCTCCCCCAAGTCTCTGAATATTTCTACCACTCTTGCTTCCAACCTCTCTCTGGCTTTTCTTCTCCATTGTTGGATCTTCTGGGTTGTCCATTCCTCTAGTCTGCTCCCAGTTCCTTCCCCCTGGTGGGTGGCTCAATCCAGTTTCACCATCTAATTGTCCTTCATTCTCTCTCTCAAGTCTCTGGGTTTCTACATCATCCTCACCTCCAGGTTCTCTCTGGTCTGTCTTCTCTGGTGTCTGAATTTCTGTTTCATTCTCACCTCCCATCTGCTGGTGGTTCTTCCTGTCTGACAAATGAGTCTTTTCATCAGTGTCATCTCTTAACTGACTCTGGTTCTCTTCTCCAGGTGTCCAGGTCTCTATACCATCCTCACCTCCAGCTTCTCTCTGGTTTCTCTTTTCTGGAGCTTGAATTTCTGCACCATTCTCACCTCCAACCTGCTCCTCTTTCTTCCATTGTGCTGAATTAGTTTCCACATCAATTTTACTTGCTAATTCTCCCCAGTTCTCTGCCTCAGATGCCTGGGTATTTTTACCATCCTTGCTTCTAATATGTTCCTGATTCTTCCACTTTGGTATGTGAATATTTCCATTAATTTCACTGTTTAACTGGTACTGGTTTTCTTCCCTAAGTTCCTGAGTCTCCTTACTATCTTCACCTTTAACCTCTCCCAGGTTTTTCTTCCCCGTTGCCTGGATATCTGTTCTAGTCTCATCTCCAAACTGCTCCTGGTTCCTCATCCCTGATGGATGAGTCTCTGCCCAAGTTACACCTCTTATTTGTCTCTGGTTCTCTGCCTCTGGGGCCAGGGTGTTTGTATCATCATCTCTGTCCTTTCCCTGGTCTCTCTTCTCCAGTGCCTGGATTTCTGCTCTATGCTCACCTCCAATCTGGTCCTCACTCCCCCAACATGGTGTCTTAAATTCTCTGTCAGTTTCACTTGCTACTGGTTTCTGGTCTCCCCAACATTGTGCCCGGATCACCACCCAATCCTCCTCTCTTATCTCCCTGAGGTTGTTCCTTCTAGATATCTGACTTTCCCCAGCATCGTCACCTCTTTTTATGCCTTGATTACTCCACCCCACTTGAAGTTCATGTCTTAGTTGTTTCTGGATCTCTGCCCTACATACTTGGATCTTCCCAGCTTTCTCACTTCCATCTTGATCCCGCTTCTCCCACCCTGGTGTCTGGATCTCTGTAACATTCTCATTTTGAACCCATTCCTGCTTTCCCCACCCCAGGGCCTGGGTCTTTATGCCATCCTCATTTTTCACTTCTCCCAAGTTCTCCTTCCCAGATATCTGGATTTGCACAGCATTCTCACCTCCACCCTGGTCTTCTTTTCTCCTCTCTTCTGCCTGAATTTCTGTACTAGTATCACCTGTAATCTGGTCTTGTTTTCCCCACCCTGGGAGCTGGGTATCCTCACCATCCTCACTTCCAGTTTGGCCTTGCTTCCTCAACACTTGGGCCTCATTCTTTTCTTCATCCTCTCCTCTGGCCTCCTTCTTGTTCTCAAAAGACTGGGTCTCTATAGCATCCTTATCCCTTTTCCTATCCTGAGTTTCCCACATTGGTGTTTGGGTCTCTGCATCAATTTTACATCTTAACTGTTCTACTTTCTCTCCTCTACACACCTGGGTTTCAGGAAGATTCTCACCTCCAGTCTCCCCCGGACTTCTCTTCCATAGTTCTTGAATTTCAACCCTACTTTCAACTTGCACCTGGTCCTGGTTCTCCCACCATGGTGTCAAGATCTCTCCAACAGCCTTACTTATTACTAGTCTCTGGCTGCCCCAGTCCAGGACCTTACTCTCTGCCATGTCCTCCATCCCAAAGTTTATTGGCAGTTGCCTTCCAGGTGCCTGAATTTCCCAAGCATTATCCCCTCTGCTCTCTTTCTGGTTTGCGCACCCTGGAGCCTGGGTCTCTCTACTGGCCTCTCTACTTAATGTCAGGTTTTCCGTTCCTGGTGCGCAGACCTCATGTGGGCAGCCCCAGGATTTCCAAGTGGGCATTCCCACTTGTTGGTTGGAAGGAACTGCTAGGAACTCTCTGGAACAGAACGGCAAGCTCTGAGCTGAAGGGAGGTTTGGGACAGGGGTCATGGAGGTGGGGTGGCATCTCATGTTGACAATATACTCCAGTGGTGCCAGTTCTTCCTGGGGATGGACCAACAGCTGCTCCATCCTTTGGCACCTGTCCAAGGCAGGGGGCCGTGGCCTACAAATGAGGTCAGTCTGATCATCACTACAACACCAGGGTACCTGCCATACTTCCCAAGAACTGTCCCGAGGTAGCATACTGGTGCTGGAAAAGGAGGTGGTGCAAAAGATACGATCAGAAGAGGTGTAGGCATCCCACAGTACACCTTGACATGGGCGCTGACAAGAGAGCAGATGTTGGGTCCATGATTCCTCGAGGCTCCTCCAGTATTCCCTGCTCTTACTTTGGGCCCATTGTCGGGCATGAGCATCCAAGCCCCTGAACTTGCCAGGACTGAGAAAGAATTTAGGGGCCAGCCTGAAACAAGTGTCATGTCTCATGGAGGGCACTGCCCACTTCTGTGGTGGCACCTGTAGGTAAGAACAGAGAAGTAAAAATCTTTGTATTCACATTATCTCATCTAATCCTCACAGATCAGGATTGTAATCCTCATTATCCAGATGATGGTGCTGGGGTTCAGGAAATGGGGAGTCACTTCTCTTAAGGAAAATATTCATTCAAGAAAGTATTCGTTTACACTTCCCTGGTGGTACAGAGGATAGGAATCTGCCTGCCAGTGCAGAGGATGTGGGTTCGATCCCTGGTCTGGGAAGATCCCACATGCTGCAGGAACAGCTAAGCTGTTATGCTACAACTGCTGAGCCTGCTTTGTAGAGACCATGAGCTGAAACTGAGCCTGCGCACCACAGCTTCTGAAGCCCGCGTGCCTAGAGCCTGTGCTCTGAAGCAAAACAAGCCACCACAATGAGAAGCCCACACAACACGACCAGAGAGTAATCCCCACTCTTAAGTCCTCACGCAGCAACCAAGACCCAGCACAGCAAAGTTAATTAAACTTACAGAAGAGAAAATACTCAAGAAAGATAGAGAAAGAGTTTATTCCAGGCCATGCACTGTTCTAGGTCCTGGATGTACCAGCATGGACAAGACACAAAGTCTTTGTTGGGAGCTGTCTTCCAGACTTGGAAGACACAATAACCAAGTATACAACATGTTAGGTATCAAAAAGTGTTCTAATGGAAATAAGAGCAAGAGTAGGGATGGGGTTAGCTTCCTGGTCAGAGAATCCTCTCAGAGGAGGTGATGTTTGACTGGAGACCTGGATGAAGCAAGGGACAAACCAAGTGACATCTGAAGAAAGAATCTTGTAGGTGAGGAAACATTCATGCAAAGGCCCTGAGGATGGAACAGGGTCATTTGTAAAAGAACAGCTAGGAAGCCAGTGTAGTCAGAATGGAATGAGTGAGTGAGGAAGACAGCACAAAGAGATGAGGTCAGGGAGAAATGCAGAACAGATTATTCCAAGCCTTGGAGTGTGGTTAGGAGTTAGCTTTTGTTCTGAGTTTGACTGGAAGTATATCCATGAGTCATTGCAGTCTTGAGTGGCAAAGTGTTATGATCTGTTTTGAAAAGTTTGTTCTTGCTCATGAACATAATGTTAGGCCTAAACCAGGTGCAAAGGAATATTTACTGCATGATGCCATATGGGCAAAACCAGTCTAATGCTTTTAGAAATCAGCAGAGTGGTGTCTGCAAGCTTCTGAGCTGCTGGTAGTGGTCTGTTTTCTTAATCTAATGCTGCACCTGTATGTGTTCAGTTTGCAAAAATTCATTGATCTACACACTTATAATCTAAGACTTCCCTGGTGGTCCAGTGGTTAAGAATCCACCTTCCAATGCAGGGGACTCAGGTTTGATCCCTGGTTGTGGGAACTAAGATTCCCACATGCCGCAGGGCAACTAAGCCTGCTTGTCACAACTACTGAGCCTGGGGGGCTGTTGAGCCCCAGCATCACAACTAGAGAGAAAATCAAGCACCACAATGAAGAGCCTGCACACCACAATGAAAGATCCCGCATGCCACAACTAAGACACAATGCAGCCCAAAATAAATAAATATACAATATATGTACATTTAAGTATATACAATATACATATATATATTAAGTAGTTAAGATGATAAATTTTTTAAATAAAATTTAAAAAAATAAAAATTCACACTTATAATCTGCTTATACGCATTATCCTTGGATGACAAATTTTTAAGAGAGACAGAAGTTCATTCTCTTGGCTGCATGGACCACTGAGCTCCATGGTTGGTTGAGACAGGAGGCAGGGACCAGGCAGAAGGTGGTACCTATAGTCCCGAAGAATATGGTGAGGGTTTGAGAAATGATCAGATTTGACATATGGTTTGCAAGTAAAGCCCATAGGACTTGCAGGTGGATTGAATACGTGGCATGAGGGAGAGAGAAGTCCAGGGTGACTGCTGGCTTTGAGGCAAGAAAATGCTCTTTTTTGAGGCAAGAAAATGCTCTTTCTGAGTTCATCAGAGTTCAGTCTGAATCCATCTCCGGTACACAGGGCATAGAACAGGGTCCCTGTAACAAATGACTGACACAATCATGGTGTGGAGGGAAAGAGGTGGGTGGGACCCCCTCACCTTGAGGAACTTCCTCACGCTGTGGTGGGTCCTGGTGACCTGATGCCAGTAGTGCCGGACCTGCCAGATCAGAAAGAGGCAGAGGACAAGCAGGTTACCACAGCACCGAGGGTCCCTGCAGCTGCGATCTTCAGAGAGCAGGCCCCGCACTGGCTCCCACTCGGGACCCCAGAACGGGCCCACGACAGCACAGGCGCCCAGGAGGGGCAGCAACATGACGCGGTTTAGGTCAGGCAGGTGGTGTTCTGGAGTTGGAGGGCAGGGCTGATACAGCTGACCTAGCCACTGCGGGGTGGGGTAGCCCCTGCCTCAGAACCCCTGTCACTAAGGCCACCTCACAAAGGCTTTTGATGCTGCGGCCTCAGCTCCAGCTGCTGCACGTGACATCAGAGCTGGCTAATATGTCCATAGTACAGATGAGGACAACATTGGGGAACCGCCCAAAAGGACTTAAAAGGAAGAACTCAAACACCTTGCCCTCTGGAGTGAAGAGATTATGCTCCCCCCATGTTGATGGAGGGATGGAAACTGCAGTCTGTTGGATTTCTTTCTTCCTACGGGATACTTTCATCCATTTGTCCTTCAGGTATCCAATATCAAACACTGAATGAACACCCTATTGAACATGTGTGTATCTTGTTTATCCACCCAGCATATCCTGATTTTTTGTTGGGAGATTACTTTCCCAACTCAGGATCAGTGTTGATAGGAATATAAATGCTATCCTGAAGACTTTCATCCAAAGGTTATGCTCAAAATATTGAATAACACAGCAGGCAGGGTCACCAGCCAATCAGAATGGGCCAGGCCTTAACTCTTTAATTGCTGGATTGTAAGCAGTCCCTGGGGCTTCCCAGGTGGTGCAGTGGTAAAGAATCTGCCTATCAATGCAGGAGACCCAAGAGATGAGGGTTTGATCCCTGGGTCAGGAAGATCTCCTGGAGGAGGAAATGGCAACCCACTCCAGAATCCTTGCCTGGAAAATCACATGGACAGAGGAACCTGATGGACTATAGTCCAAGGAGTTACAAAGAATCAGACATAACTGAGCATGCACACACAAAACCCTGGGGTTACAGTAGAAGGGTGTCACCTATTTACCAACCATTTGGAAAGTCTCTGTCTATTCTAAGAACCCAGGACTTCCCTCATAGTCCAGTGGTTAGGAATCTGCCAGCCAAGGCAGGAGACACTGATTCCACGATCCGTGGTCTGGGAAGATTTCACATGTCATGGGGCAACTAAGCTCTTGCACTGCAACTACTGAAGCCTGCATGTCCTGGAGGCCATGCTCTGCAACAAGAGAAGTCACCGCAATGAGAAGCCTGCACACTGCAACTAGAGAGTAGCTTCCTGCTCGCCGCAACTAGAGAAAGCCCAAGGCAGTAATGAAGACCCAGCACAGCCTTAAATAAATAAATGAAATTTTAAAAAACACAAGAAAACCCGAGTATACCACACGATGCATCTTGGCTAAACGTTACCATAGGTTATATATGATTCTTTTTCACAGGCTCAGGACAGCCAAGGAGTGGAGGTGTGACCTAAGTTTGGCCATTACAGAGTCTTTTTCCAAATTCCTTTCGGCTTGCTTGTCACCAAAGATCCTTCAGTGAAAGGAGGACACCCTTTGGATCAGACACAGTGCCAAAAGATAGATATCCAAAGTGTCCAACGCAGCTTCAAGCCCTGCTCTCATAAAGCACTCTGTGTGTTGGGAAAGGCAAACACTGAATAAAGACAGAGTCAGTGAGGGCTACAGAGGGAATTGCAGGGGCTTCTGGGTCCATCCAGCAGGGGCAATTACCTGGTCTGGGTGATCGAGGAGTCTTCACTGAACAGGCGATGAGCACAGCACATCACTCCTGATAGAGGGTGAAGGATGGGCTTGGGGAGACTGGGGTGTGCTCAGGATATAGAAAGAAGGTGGAGGGGGCTGCAACATGAGGATGAGAAGGGAAGAACCAGTGGAGAGAGGCCTCATAAGCCATGACAAGCATTTAGGGTTTTAAGCCCAGAACTGTGGTAAAAGACAAATTTCTAAGACAAATTGATTCTGAACATATGTTAACATTTACTAACTTAATAGTAAGGGAAAGAGCAAACTACAAAAGGGTGGGCTAGTCCTATGAGAACATGGAAAACGAGTTGATTTTATACAGTTGGGAAACAGAATTAATTAGGTTGAGTTTACTGTCTCACTACTCACAGTCATAAAAACACCAAGCTCCTATCAGTCATTACTAGGAGATCTGGGATATAATGGTCCAAGATGCCAGGTAGGCCAAATAACCACCTGAAATTGTGATAAAGCAAAACATCAAAGAAGCAAATGATAATGACACCTATGACTGTAAATAGAAATAATACATTCCCCAACAGTGGTAGCTGATTGTTGTTGTTGGTCAGTCGCTCAGTTGTGTCTGACTGTTTGTGACCCCATGGATTGCAGCATGCCAGGCTTCCCTGTCCTTTGCTATTTCCCAGAGTTTGCTGAAACTCATGTCCATTGAATGGATGATGCCATCCAACCATCTCATCCTCTGTCGTCCCCTTCTCCTCCTGCCTTCAATCTTTCCCAGGATCAGGGTCTTTTCCAATGAGTCAGCTCTTCACATCAGGTGGCCAAAGTATTGGACCTTCAGCTTCAGTATCAGTCCTTCCAATGAATATTTAGGACTGATTTCTTTTAGGATTGACTGGTTTGATCTCCATGCTGTCCAAAGGACTCTCAAGACTCTTCTCCAGTAGTAGTTGATAGGTTCAATTAATATACAAATATGGGGACTTCCCTGGTAATCCAGTGGCTAAGACTCTGTGCTCCCAATATGGGGGGAGAGAGGTGGTGCCGGGTTGATCCCTGGTCAGGGAACTAGATCTCAAATGTTACAACTGAAGATCCCGCATATCACAACTAAGACCTGAAGTGAAATGAAAGTCGCTAGTCACGTCTGACTCTTTGCAACCCCATGGACTGAATTCTCCAGGCCAGAATACTGGAATGGGTAGCTTTACCCTTCTCCAGGGGAATCTTCCCAACCCAGGGATCAAACCCAAGTCTCCCGCATTTCAGGCAGATCTTTACCAGCTGAGCCACAAGGAAAGCCCCAACTAAGATCTGGTGCAGCCAAATAAATATTAAAAACAAACACGGAAATATAAAACTGCATCCAAGGAAGATGAGGAGCAGGGTCCAAATCACAGGTTCTGCTCTTTAACAGGAGTCATCATTGGGAATTTCTTAATTTGGAGACAAATTTTTTTATTTGACAAGTCATAGATTTGCATGAATGAAGTCTGATGGGATTTTTCATGTAATAAAAGTTCGGCCCTGGAGCCACTTCAAACCCATCCATCTGGCTTTTCAAGCATAGTAACCAGATGCGGTGGAAGCAACCCAAGCTGAAAGCCAAAAATCCCAGGGTCGGGTTCTGGCTTCTGCCATTGTGTCGTTCTGTGACTGCGGACAAGCAACTTACCCACTCTGGGCCTCAGTATCTGTGAAGTTAAACAGCTGCACTTCATGATTCCCAAGTGCCCTGCTGGATCTCTACTTCTAGGTTTCCAAACGAAATACCTGGAACTGACCCCTTTGGCCGAGTTTTGGCTAGATCCAAATGGTCCCAAGACACGCCTGGCATCTTGGGAAGAGAGACCAGTTAGGGCTGTAAAGATCCAGGAGAACTTTTTGGAGGTGGTGAGGGATCCAGGAGGACCTCTTGTCTTACAGGTAATGAGGCATGAGTCTAGCTTTAAATAGTGGAACTTTGGGGCAGCGCAGGGAATGTATGTCCTAGACATCTCCAAACCCAACCTGCCAGAAACTCAACCTCCATCCCCAAACCGGAAGAAGAATTCCCTACTCCACTGAATTCCCTACTCAGTGGATTCCACTTCTGGTGGACTCCACACTTCATTAGAAAATTTAACAAAGATATCTGAATATGAAGGAAAACATTTAGGATTACCAATTACTATATCCATACCATTCCCTTACTACCAGGTAGAGTAAAAAAAAATGATAATAAAATCACATAAATGTGCTACAAAGTAAACTAGCAATGGAATGACACCACTGAAATTCTTTGTTTTGGTGTGTTATTTTTTGGATATTGAACTCACTGTTTCTGCCAATAACTGGTAATTGAACGATACTAAAACTACGGCAAAGGCGATCCCTCCCCCAGAACTGAAGTAGTTCCGCGCTGGTGCCCTTTAAGGGGAGAACCGCCCTCTTTCTGGCGTCATTTCCGCTTCCGGCCACGAGCGGCCATTTCCACTTCTTCCCTGCGACTTTTCGCGGCCGAAAGTTCTTTTCCGACGTCGCCTGTGCTTCTGGAGGAGGGACGGGACCACTGAACCGCAGCTATGGTGAGTGCGTGCGCCTGGTTGAAAAGCCAGGAAGTGGGAGACTCGGCGTTCAGTTCTCTCACTAGCTTGTCGACTTAGAACATGCGCGGTGTCGCCGGCCCGGCGAAGCGTTTGAGCTCGGATGGCCGAATAGCCCCAAGCACTGTCTTTTCTCCCGGCCCGAGGTTAGAACGCTAGAGGTGAGTCCCGGATTCTGTGATGGAGCGTCTGTCAGCAGTTAGTGCTCCTGGCAGAAGGCCTCCGGTGAGCGGAGAGGGCATAGCCCGGCCTGGGAGAAAGGGACCAACCCACGTGGGACAGAGTAGAAAGTCGGATGAGAAAATTTGATTTTATTGGCTTTATATTTCTTTTGGAGGGGTCGCTAGAGGGTGATGTGGAACCCTGGGTTTGAATCAACCTCCCCAGCTCCCCTTTCCCATTGCTGAGGTTCAGGAGAAGGATATCTGCATGGGTCTGCGCCTAGTGCTTGTCGCAAGTTACGTATGCCAGGGATTAAAGGGGCCTTTGGCGTTTGGGGGAACCCTAGTCTGGAATGCAGGAACGATTCCTCCTGCGAGGCGGTAACCTCAGAAATCAAAAGTTCTGGTAGCACCACGTGCGGGGATCCTCTAAAACTCTTGATGGTCTCTAACTTTTTAATCAGATCGTGTGACTTGGTACCTAGTTTTGATCGGCACTTAGTAAGGAGGGAAGAGTTTGCAAAAACACTTCGACTTTCATAATGAGGTTTAATCCTTTTAACGGTTCTTGGATCACAATGGATATCTTCCTTGCTGCCCCACCCCTATTTTGAGGTTGGTATGTTGCTGAGTCTGGAACTTGAAACTTCTAAACTAGTGTTCATCTTTCGGAGTTTCTTGGAAAGTTTTGGCATCAGGTGGTCTCAGTTTAATAATGCATTTAATTGCCTTTACGGCTGGTATGGAGAGAGTGAGCATGCACTATTTGTTGTCAAATCAAAACTTGCAGGTTTTGGCTGTTTGTTGTATGAGGAGAACAAAGACATAAAGCTACGGGTTAAAGTTGTCTAATAGTAAGATTTCATTTATTCAGTCATTTAATTAACCCTTGGAAAAATTAAAAGGTGAATAAATACACCCTAAGCAACTTTCAGTTGCTATTTATAAGGTCGGTGGTTTGGTTTTAAAATTGAGTGGAACTTTTGTTGTCATTGTTGTTGACTATTATTAAACCATTAAAGTGACTCCTCTTTGATCATAGTTGAGTTCAGTTCAGTGGCATCCAGCTCTTTGCTACCCCCATGGACTTGAAACAGGTCAGGCTTCCCTGTCCATCACCAACTTCCAGAGCTTGCTCAAACTCTTATCCATCCAGTTGGTGATGCTATCCAACCATCTCATCCTCTGTCGTCCCCTTCTCCTCCTGCCTTCAATCTTCCCCAGCACCAGGATCTTTTCCAATGAGTCAGTTCTTCACATCAGGTGGCCAAAGTATTGGAGTTTCAGCATCGATCTTTCCGATGAATATTCAGGACTGATTTTCTTTAGGATTGACTGGTTTGATCTCCTTGCAGTCCAAGGGACTCAAGAGCCTTCTCCAACACCACAGTTTAACAGCATCGATTCCTCGGAGCTCAACTTTCTTTATGGTCCAACTCTCACATCCATACATGACTACTGGAGAAACCATAGCTTTAACTAGACAGACCTTTGTTGGCAAAGTAATGTCTCTGCTTTTTAATATGCTGTCTAGGTTAGTCATAGCTTTTCAGAATCTGCCTGCAATGTGGGAGACCTGGCTTTGATCCTTGGGTTGGGAAGATTCCCTGGAGAGGGGAAAGACTACCCACTCCAGTATTCTGACCTAGAGAATTCCGTGGACTGTATGGGATCACAAAGAGTCAACACAACTGAGTGACTTTCACTTCACTTTCTTCCAAGGAGCAAGCGTCTTTTACTTTCATGGCTGCAGTCACCATCTGCAGCGATTTTGGAGCCCAAGAAAATAAAGTCTGTCACTGTTTCCATTGTTTCCCCATTTGTTTGCCATGAAGTGATGGGGCCGGATGATCGTAGTGGATCTCCTGAAGTCTCCCCCTTTTATGCTTTTGATGTTTATTAAGAGATGACAATCCTAGTTCCCAGAGATGGGTGATCGGAAGCTACAGTAAAAATATCTGGCATTTTAAAAGAACTCATGGGTCAAATTGAAAATAATAAGGGAAATTTGAAAACAGAACAGAACAATAATGGAAATACCAAATATCAGAGTATGTACGGTACAACTAAAGTATTGGAACCTAAGATATGGGGGGGGGGGGATTAAAAAGCTAGGGAAAGATCAAAAGGACAAAATAACGTGAAAGAAAAGCAGAAATTACTGAAATAGAAAATATATTTTGTTGTAGGGTGGACAAAATCAGAAGAGTATTTGAAAAGTCCCCTCTGATGAGATTAATCAAGAAAATAAGCAAAAAGTTATAAGTAAGGAATAAATTTGAAGGAGACATAATCTGCAGACTTTTAAAAAGAAAGGATATGAGCAATGTGATATCTATAAATACAGAAACTTAGAGGAACAAGTACCTGAAAAAAATAGAATCAAAATGAATTAAAGTAGGAGGGCTGAATAATAGTAAAGAAACAAAGTTAATATTGTATGTTAATTATAACTCAGTAAGAAAAACTAAAGTTTTTTCTTTTTTTAACTAAAGTTTTTTAACATGGAAAAACTTTAAGTGTTAGTTGCTGAGTCCTATCTGACTCTGCAACTCCATGGACTGTGGTCCACCAGCCTCCTCTGTCCAAGGAATTCTCTAGGCAAGAATACTAGAGTGGGTAGAGATCCCATTCTCCAAGTGATCTTGCTGACTCAGAGATTGAACCCTGGCCTCCTGCATTGTGGCATCTGAGCCACTACACCTACTTTAAAAAATAGCTTTATTGAGATAATTTCGTACCATAAAGTTCCACTCTTTAAGTCAGTGGTGATCATTTTGTAATGTACAAAAATATCAAATAACAGTGTTGTGCACCTGGAACTAACAATAATATAGGTCAATTATGCATCAATTTTAAAAACAAGTGTGTAGTAGGAAAAAAGTAAGTGTATAACTCAGTGGGTGTTCTTATATTTACAACCTTGTGCAACCAACACTAGAAAAACTTTAAAAATAAAGGAGAAAAGTCTTAACTCATCCATCTTGTACAAAAATATAGAATTCAGTGCCAATTCATTTATAAAAAGTTCTTAAATTATTAAGGAATAGAGTGAATTTTCTTAAAATGAAATATCTGAGTAAATCTAAAAGATGTTAAGGCTTTTGGAGAAATTATAAAGCTTTATTTAAAAGCACTAAACAGTTAAGTAAATATATATGCTTAACTGGTTTGACAGATTCTGTATCTTAAAGGTGTTTTATCCTAATTGGGATTATTTTAAATGTACAAATCAATGCTGTCCCAGCAGACCTTTTCTTTTTCTTTCTTTTCTTTTTTTCTTTTCCCTTGGTAGAATTTGAAAAAGCTGATTCTAGGATGTATGTGTTTGCTCAGTCGCTGTTAAAGTCGCTTGGCCATGTAGAACTCTTTGTTACCCCATGAAGTATAGCCCACCAGGCTCCTCTGTCCATGGGATTTTCCAGGCAAGAATACTAGAGTGGCTTGCCATTTCCTCCTCCAGGGAATCTTCCTGACCCAGGGGTTGAACCCGCATCTCTTGAGTCTCCTGCATTGCAGGCGGATTCTTAACCACTGAGCCACCTGGGTGTATGAAGAAGAGCAAATAATTAGGGATCTTTCCCACTTCGTGAAACATCTCGAACTTCTCCTAATTTCTCATCACCCTGGGACCGTGACAGGTTGACCCAGTGCGTTGTGTTGTTGTGTGGGACCGGGCTTCCGGGTGCGAGCGGGGTGTCGACGTCACTTCCTCTGACTTCACTTCCAGTTCCTGGGCTGGGGGTCGCTTCTAAGCTCTTGGGGGATCAGGCAGGAGACCATCAAGGCGGGCTTAATATGGTGAGTATATCCACTGGGCCGTTGCCCGTGGGTCACCACCTCGAACCGCGGTGCGGCGTGCCGCAAGCTGCGTGCCGCGGTCCAGCTTCCAAACCCAGGGTTAGACCGCATCACTGCGGGTGAACTGCTTTATGCTCAGGGATGGTAATGTGGGCTGCACCCAGGTTATGTATGTAATAAAATACATATTTGTAAAAAGAATCAGAGGGAAAGCAAATGAGAAATGAATAAAAATAGTTAAAGTCGAGATGTGAAAATAGGGTAGGAGGAATGGAATAGGCGAGGCACCACCGAGTTTGTTTTCTATGTGTGTTATTTTGCAATGGATCCTGTGGGGTTGCATTTTATCTATAGGTATTAGAGCATGCTTTTGTAAAATGAGAAATTTCAACAACTTCCATGCCACTACAATACCCCCAAATTTAATAATTCGTTAATATCAAATATATAGTATTGTTCTCCCCTGGTTGCCGCTGCTGCTGCTAAGTCACTTCGGTCGTGTCTGACTCTGTGCGACCCCATGGACTGCAGTCTACAAGGCTCCTCCGTCCATGGCATTTTTCCAAGCAAGAGTACTGGAGTGGGTTGTCCTTGCCTTTTTCACCTGGTTGCCGCAGGCCTCCAAAGTAAAGCAACCTTTCCTTTCCTACCAGCACTTATCTCTGGAGAATTGGCTTTCGAGCAGCCAGACCTGAGTTCTGGACCTAGATTTGGTAGCAGTATTAGAATCAAAGGCTGGGACTTCCCCAGTGGTCCAGGCGAAGGGTCTGCGCTTCCACTGCAGGGGGCGCAGTTTCCATCTCTGATCAGGAAACTAGGATCTACGCATGCCCTGCGGGCAAAAAAAGGTGGGATGGAAGGCTTGATCAGCTTTTCTGCTAGCTTTCCTCTTTTCCCCCAAGACTGCTTGATCATAGATGGTTTGTTCTTTAAGAGAGGCAGTGTGCTTAGTCGCTCAGTCGTGTCCGACTCTTTTGTGACCCAGTGGACTGTAGCCGGCCAGGCTCCCCAGTCTATAGGGATTCTCCAGGCAAGAATACTGGAGTGGGTTGCCATGCCCTAAGAATTTTTTAAGCAAACTAAATACAAAGGAACCTTAATTGTATATCAGATTGATAGCCACAAGGTAAAATATAGTTTGAATAACTTTTGAATATAGTACTCTGACTAGATGGTTTTAGTTGGATATATTGTAAGATTAAAAGGAAATTTTGACCTTGGTGGGTTTATAGTTGATGGAGGTAGTATTGGTATAGCAACTCTGAAACCATTTTATGTGAATTGCAGGGTAGAATAAATGAGAAAATACTTTGATGTTTTGGAAACTAGGATTTTTACTGAAAACTGAAGATTCAAATATAAAGGAAATAGAGCTTTGTGCTGGGTTTCTGTAAATTATACTTGTTTAGATTTAGTAAATTAAATGTGTATGTTTGGGGGAGGGGACGTAGGGAAGCTCCCTGTTGTCCCTCTCAGTTTTGGGCTGAAGTACTTTGTGACTTGTCTGGAACAACTTCTGGTTCAGTTTGACTCATGCTCTGATTTCCCCCCAACAGACCGAGGCTGACGTCAATCCGAAGGCCTACCCTCTTGCAGATGCCCACCTCACCAAGAAACTATTGGACCTCGTTCAGCAGTCATGTAACTACAAGCAGCTTCGAAAAGGAGCCAATGNCCCCCCAACAGACCGAGGCTGACGTCAATCCGAAGGCCTACCCTCTTGCAGATGCCCACCTCACCAAGAAACTATTGGACCTCGTTCAGCAGTCATGTAACTACAAGCAGCTTCGAAAAGGAGCCAATGAGGGTAAGGCAACCAGAGGATAGTCCAGGAAGAGTGTTAACAGCACTGTCCCTGTCCAGGGTCTGGACTAGATTTCCAAGGTGGAAAGAGGGCTGGATGCTTTTGATTAGGCCCACCATGGGGACTTAAGAGCAGTAGTGTGTGTGGCCTATGGGCTAGCACTGGGTCACAGAGAATAAGCAGTCAGGAATAAGCATTTGAGGGGTTTTCACTGGTAGCTCAGTGGTAAAGAATCCACTCACCAATGCAGGAGACACAGTTAGAACCCTGATCTGGGGAGATCCCACACGCAGCTGAGCATCTAAGCCTGTGTGCCATGACTACTGAGCCTGTGCTCCACAGCAAGAGAAGGCGCTGCAGTGAGAAGCCCGCACACCACTACTAGGAGTAGCCCCTGCTTGCCACAACTGGAGAAAAGGCCACGCAGCAAGGAAGACCCAGAATGGCCAGAAATAAAACTAAGTTAAATAAAATTACAAAATAAGGAATAAGGATTTGAACAATGCTGTGGGGTGTTGAACTTGCTTGGTGAGTTGCATGTGGTGTGAACTTCCCAAAGTATTGATCATGGCAGATTTGGATGGAAACTCCTGATCCTTGGTCACAGGCTTGGAGAAGTGCTGCACTGCATTGCTTCATGCTGCTGAAGCTTGGGTGAAAGCTGTTCCCGTCACCCAGGCAAGAGATAGTGGTGACGTGAAGAATGTGGTATCAGAGGACAGGAAAAGAAGCGCTCTTTTTAGGATTTAGAGTGCATTTTGACAGAACTGATGGATTTGATACAGAGTTTGAGGAAGGCATTGGGGATTTGGTGCTTGGCTCCCTATCTCTTCCGAAGGCCACTGTGGGACAGAGAATTGCCTAGACCTGGACATTTTAGCCCATTTTTCTTGCACCTGTTTCTTTTCCTTGGAAGTTACTTTGTTGTGGCTTCCCTGCCCCAGCGCCCATCACCTGTTGACTTCATGTCCTTCTCTCTGCAGCCACCAAAACCCTCAACAGAGGCATCTCTGAGTTCATCGTGATGGCTGCAGATGCAGAGCCCTTGGAGATCATCCTGCACCTCCCGCTGCTGTGTGAGGACAAGAACGTGCCCTATGTGTTTGTGCGCTCCAAGCAGGCTCTGGGGCGAGCCTGTGGGGTCTCCAGGCCTGTCATCGCCTGCTCCGTCACCATCAAAGAGGGCTCACAACTGAAGCAGCAGATCCAGTCCATCCAGCAGTCCATTGAAAGGCTCTTAGTCTAAACAAGTGGCCTTGGCCACACTCCTGGCTGACTCCTCCTACCCCTACCCCCATCCCACCCCGAGTTATGTATCATATTGTCTGTTAGCATGTAGTGTTTCCAGCTACCTTCTATTGTTATAAAATATTTTAATGCTCAGTCTGGTTTTTGGATTTTTGTATTGTTGTCTTGTTTTATAGGTTGTCAGCCCCTCCCCTAATCTCCCCTTCCTCTCTGCCATCTTATCCTCCTTTTTGGAAAGTGAACTAAGGCCCAGAACAGGTGGAAACAGGCTGGATGACACCACTTAAAGGCAGGGAAGAGCTGACCTAGAGAATTGGTTCCAGCTTTCAGGTGCCTGCTTCCTACTGTGCAGGGCATGATGGCGTAACTTGACAGCTTGTACTCCTTGTTCCTGGTGTACAGGATTGTTGCACGCGTGTCTGAATCACTGAGGGGTCTCCTTTGCTCTGCAGGGCATTATGTATCGTTTGGGGAGGAAGCACGTGTTCTGTGAGGTTGTTGGGTACCCAACAATCGAAGTGTCAGTTGCTGATGTACCCCTGCTGTTTGCTTTTGGTAATATTGTATTCCCCCCCCCCAACTCCCACCTTTGCCCCCTGAGGGTGGCAGGCAGCAGCATACCAAAGAGACATGCTGCCAAATTCCAGAGGTGCCCGGGTGAGTGAGACATGGGCCAGTTGACCTAGGTCTTGAAGGCATGGCAAGAGGTTCTGGAATGAAGGATTCTGGGCCCATCACAGAGGACTGACTGGAAGCTGCAGCAGAGATGATGGAATCCAAGGAAGCATCCTCGCTTTGCTGAAAGGCAATTTCTTCAGTGGACCCTTGTACCAGCTCTGAGAGCTGTTACCTGGGCCTGTCTCCTGCTGTGATGTGGGTCAGATGTGTATTCTCTGTCCCATCAGAAGGACAGTGCTAATGTGTCATTCTTGTGAGCATCCTAATAAAGAATACATATATTCATATTCCAGTTTAAAGAAAGTGTGGTTCTTGGTAGGTGTCCAGCTGATACTTGATTGAAGCATTAGAGTGGTTAATAGTTTCTTGTAGTTTCTCAGTTTTCACCAGGAAGCTGTGCAAAAGCTGTCACTTCCAGATGATTTCTGGTGGTTCAGAATATTCAGACTTAATCATTGAGGTGTTGCTGTCACTCTGGAAGAGGATTTCTCAACTTCAGCACTGTTGATATCTTTGGTTGGATAATCTTCCTATAGGAGGCTGGCCTGTATGCTGTAGAATGTTTAGCAGCAAACCTGGCCTTTCCCACTAGAATGTAACCACTCCAGCAGTAGGTTCCTAGGGAAGCTAAAGCCACCCAGGGATGCGAGTTCGATCTCTGATCCACTAGGGATCCCACCCCATGTTCCACGAGGCAGGTGGTGGTGGTGGTGGTGCTTTAGTCACTAAGTCATGTCCGACTCTGCGATCCTGTGAACTGTAGCCTGCCAGGCTCCTCTGTCCATGGGATTCTCCAGGCAAGAATACTGGAGTGGGTTGCCATTCCCTTCACCACGAGGCAGGGGGAGGACTAAACCTGTGCACCACAACTACTGAGCCCGCGTGTTCTAAAGCCCGTGCTTGGCAACAAGAGCAGTCACCATAATGAGAAGCCTGTGTACCACAACTAGAGAGTACCCCCCCCACCCCCCCCCCCCCGCAACCCCCTGCCCTGCATGGCCCTAGAGAAAGCCCTTAAGCAGCAACAAAGACCCAGCACAGCCAAAAAATAAAAAACAGCAGTACGACCGTGTCAAAACTGCTCTAGTGATGACTGCTGGAAGTGCTGGCAGGGCCTACAGGTGAGAAGGTCCCAGCTGCATGAGTGCCCAGAGTAAACCCAGGCAGGACTGGCTTTCATGTGTGATAGTCAGTTACAATGAAGATTACACATTCAGGGATAGTTTGGGCTCAAACCGGAAAGGCTGGATAGTCGTCATAGCTCCGGTCCATTGTAATAGGTGTATTTTCCCTCTAAAACGGATTTCAGGCTGGAATTTCTGTTTGAAGGTAACGGAGAAGTGGATGACTAAGTTCTCCCAGATTTCATGGTCCTGCTTTGCTTCTACCCTTTTAATAAGACATTAATAAGAGATGTCCCCTCTGCATTCGGCCTGGAGGCCAATACACATGTGTCTGTGCACGTGCAGTTCTCTCCAGCGGTCCCGCCCCCACCTGCCTCTGCTGACTGCCACTCAGGCAGATGCACCTCCCCGTTCCTCCCATTCCCGCGCGCTCTCGGCGCCAGGTTTGCAGCGTGCACGCGCAGACCATTTCTGCTCAGTGGCTGCGCGTGACCACCACCCACTGGACTAAAGCGTGTTTGCAGTCGAAGAAATTGGGTAAGTTTGTGCCTTTTGAGCACTTAGTCCATTTACAGGTTTCCTTATTTTCATTATTCCACGTTATTATTCTTATTATGAGTAAACAGGCTTGAAAATGCCAAGTAAATTGCCTATAGTCATTTGTATGTGTGTGATGGAGCCAAGATGTAAATCTACTAAATCTGACTTGTGAGCTTACAAGAGCCCAACCAAATTATGTTTGGACATGATGGTTTTTCTCCCAGGAGCTCAACAGCAGAGAAGGCAAGTATCATTAATTAATCTACAGAGAAACAGAGATCACACAATTGCTCGTTATCACAGACCTCGGTGGTTATCTTTCTAACATCATTCACATTACCCATGTTTTGTTTGACCCTTGAACTCTTCTCTCCATTTTGTAAACAGAACAGAGGAGGGGGAGCCTAGGGGCCTGCAGGACTGCATAGAAAAGCCTGGGACTCACTAGTTTTCCTTCTCACCAGCATGAAAACAAAGCCCCAGCGAGTGGTGGCACTCAGTCTTACCCTCCTACTTGCGATGACCAGTCCGATTTTGATCTACCTCTGTAGTATCAGTAACCCTCTCTGCTGCTGCTAAATCGCTTCAGTCGTGTCTGACTCTGTGCAACCCCACAGACGGCAGCCCACCAGGCTCCCCCGTCCCTGGGATTCTCCAGGCAAGAACACTGGAGTGGGTTGCCATTTCCTTCTCCAGTGCATGAAAGTGAAAAGTGAAAGTGAAGTCTCTCAGTCCTGTCCGACTCAGTTAGCGACCCCATGGACTGCAGCCTACCAGGCTCCTCTGTCCATGGGATTTTCCAGGCAAGAGTACTGGAGTGGGGTGCCATTGCCTTCTCCAGTAACGCTCTCTAGAACCCAGTTTCCAAGCATGTGTCATTTAACGGGGGTGGTCTTACTTTCCAGCAACAAGAATGAATACTTCCTGTATTACATGATTTTGCATTATCTTGCTGTATCCTCAAAGTCATCTAATTGGATAATTATTTTCCCTCTCCCCAAGATAAGGAAAGAAATCCAAACAAGAATATAACATCTCCTTTCCAAACACAAGCAAAAAGAAGTTAAAAAAATCCATAAAACTCAGAGCAAAGAATCCAAAACTGAAAACCTCTTCCAAGAGTAATCTGATCCTTCCTACACTCACCTCATGAGATACTCATTCTAGTCCTCAAAGACACAGGACTTACAAGCCATCCTCAGAGGATAAAAACCCTTCCAGGTGCTTTCCTTCCTTCTCTCAGGCTAATTCTTCAAAAGCAGTAACTGCAGAAAGAACAAGGAAAGGGGCAGGAAGAATATAGGAGGGAAGGTATGGGGGGGACACGGAAAGATCCCTCCCCTCCTCTTCCCCTTTTCCTGATCCAAGGACCCCTCCTTTTTCCGTTCTCTCATCAAACCTCTCCTTATCTTCTTGAACTTCCTACAGCTCCCCTAAAAAATTACAGGAATAACTCATTTCACTTACACTGCAACCCAAATTCTCAGGGCAACAGAAAATGTGTGTCTCTTCTTCATATTAAGAAAACACAACATGAGTAGGCGAGTTGCTTTGTACTCATGAAGCAAGTGGTATAAGAATTACACATTACCTTGTTATTACTTCTGAAATCTGATTTAGATCTAATATGACACATGTAAAGGAAAACAGGTGGGAAAACAGAGGATCAGAACATAACCTGACTAGGATTATCATCCCTTAAGTGTTCATGTGTCCTTAACTGTCACACTCTTCCCTGCCCTCACGGATATTTCTTGTTTCCGTTGTGAGGAAATGCGTTCCCAGTGGGAGAAAAAATAAAGCTCACAGCCAACGGCATCTTTGGATGCAAAGGAGACATCTTTTTTCTTTTACACTATAGAACAATATATAGTACAAAGTTAGGCTCTTTATTCAGACAGTAGAGTAAGGCACAGTAAAGTGAGAGGGCAACACTGTCTCCATGGCAACAGAAAGTCCTTGACTTCTGTCACGCAGACTCTTCTGGATCAGGAGAAGAAAGGTTTTGACTTGATAAAAACAAAACCGGGCAGCCTGGCTACACTGTGGAAGGGGGTCTGGCTGTATGCTCTCCGGTCAGGCCTTCTGGAAGTGCTTGGTGAGGACATCCAGCAGCTCCTGCTTCTTCAGCCCACCCTTCAGCCCGCACATCCTGCAGGCTTCCTTCAGTGCGGGCACGGTGAGCTTACCCAGCGTGCCCTTGCTGACGTGGGCCTTCAGCTCCTCTTCGGACAACTCTACCTTGGGCCTTTTGCTTCCAGAACTTTCATCATCTGAGGACAGAGGTCAGGTGGGAGTGACTGGAAAGGCTACCAGTGGGATCCCAGCTATACGGCACAGGGGCCTTCCCATGATCTGGGCAGCAGTTAACCATCTTCCCTAAAGCTGTGATGCCCACCTAGCACACCTTGGGGAAGATGGGTGTCTTGATAAGGCAGCTTCAGCTATACACAAAATTTAAAAAGTATCACATCTAGGTGGGAGCTAAAGGTCGTGAGTCTTACCAGTGTATCCCAAACTCCTGATCATGCTGGGTGAGCAAGTCATTCCTTCCTTCCTTCCTTTATTCAAAAAGCATTTATACTCTCAAATTATACTACAAAGCTACAGTAATCAAATATAGTACTGGCCCTGAAACAGACACGTAAATCAGTGAAGCAGATAGAGTGCAGAAATGAACCTGCATTACATGGGCAATAAATCTATGACAAAGGAAGCAAGAATGGGGGAAAAGACAGCCTCTTCAATAAATGGTGCTGGGGAAACTGGTCAGCTATGTGCCAAAGAATCAATTACTTTCTCACACCATACTTTAAAAAAACCTTAAAATGGATTAAAGGCTTAAATGTAAGACCTGAAACCATAAAACTTCTAGGTGAAAACACAGGCAGTATGTTCTGTAAGCTGTGCGGTGCAGCCAAAAAAAAAGAAACCCACTGAACATCCATGCCCAACTCCTTACCTTGTTTTCGCTTGGTTACTTTTCCCTCGGGATTATAATCTGGTGGGTAGACAAGTTCCTTAAACTCATCCACGAGGGAGCCCAGTCTTTTATCCATCACTTCAGTCTTGGGCACTAGAAAATAAAAACATAAGAACAGTGGCCTGCAGAGTCACAAGCTCAGCCTCTGCCCAGTCCAAATCTACAGGGACCAGAGAAGAAAATATGTAATTGCTGAGATGGGGAGGTGTATGAAGGCTCCAGGAGGCAGCTCACCTGGCCACGAAAACGTTCACTAAAACTCTAACATTTACCAAGTAGCTTCTCACAATTGCACTTAATGAGCACAACAGCCAGGCACTCTCTTAAATGCTTTAAACTTACTATTATTTTTATTTACTCCTCCTAACAATCTCTGGGCTAGGGAAACCTCTCTCCTCATTCTACAGAGATGGAAATTCGAAAGGTTAAATTACTTTGCTGAGGTCAAACAGCAGAGAAGGGGCAGAGTTGAGAACAGGGCTAGAGCCAGGGGATTCAACAAGAGTCCCTGCCTTCGGGGCTTACAGGCCAGGCGGGAATAGGAGAAGGGAAAAACACAAATGCAGTAGAGACGGGCAGTGCCGTGAAGGAAGGGGCCATGCAGGCATGTGGGAACTCGGTGGGGTAGGGTGCAGGAAGG